AGTTGCCATAGGAACAAGAGTTCCAGCATGGCCTACCTATAACAGATAACAAGCCACGGCCTAGAGAAGCATCTCCATAGGAGATATGAAAGCCAACCACCCAGATTTAATAAAGACCAATCACCTTTTTCACTTTGACAAGTCGGCGTAGCTTTCCGCAAACTGTAATTGAAGTCCATCATGTACAGACATACTATAATTGTCTTCTGGAATATTTTAACAGACAAATCAACATGTGGTAATTCTATTTTACCCTAAAAAAATAGCAGGGAAATTAATATATTCCACTCAGAATAGATGCAAAATTCACAATAACTTGAAAATGTGTATCGTCTATTCGTTTGATCTATGATATAACTAGAAAGATTTTCGTCATTGAGTTTCTTTATGTTAAAAATTCTACCTTGTATATTGAGTCAGTGAATCTGATTGCCTGTTCACATCACATAGTACTCTAAATCCCGCATTAGGATCCTCTAGAGTAGAAACCCTACATTGATCTCCTAAAGTGGAAGATCCAATGGCTGAAAATAAAACTCACCAAAACGACGTCGTTTTGGTGAGTTTTATTTTCAGCCATTGGATCTTCCACTTTAGGAGATCAATGTAGGGTTTCTACTCTAGAGGATCCTAATGCGGGATTTAGAGTACTATGTGATGTGAACAGGCAATCAGATTCACTGACTCAATATACAAGGTAGAATTTTTAACATAAAGAAACTCAATGACAGAAAATCCTTCTAGTTATATCAGAGATCAAACGGATGGGTGATACACATTTTCAAGTTTCAACTCATTATTTTTGTTTTGAAGTTTGAAGAGTACTGTTGGAAAAACAACTTAATATGAGGTCCTATTATCACCTGAACTAATTCTAGATGCATCTAGGTTATTGTGAATTTTGCATCTATTCTGAGTGGAATATATTAATTTCTATGTTATTTTTGGGGGGGGAAATAGAATTACTACATGTTGATTTGTCTGTTAAAATATTCCAGAAGATAATTATAGTATGTCTGTACAGGATGGACTTCATTTACAGTTTGCGGAAAGCTGCGCCGGCTTGTCAAAGTGAAAAAGGTGATTGGTCTTTATTAAATCTGGGTGGTTGGCTTTCATATCTCCCACAGAGATGCTTCTCTCAATAATGTATTGTTATCTGTTATAGGTAGGCCATGCTGGAACTCTTGTTCCTATGGCAACTAGTCTATTGATTGTATGTGTTGGTAAAACTACAAAATTGGTTGATAGGTAAAAATTCAAATATAATCTATTATATTCAATAGCTCTTGAGTTATCTTTTTCTTTTTGCCAAGCACCATTAGTATGTGAGCATGCATTTTTTGTATGCAATGAACGACCGGTTGTCCCGTGAGACCCACATCTAACGTAAACACATAGTATTTTGGTGAAATCTAATCCAGTTCCTCATTTTGTTAAAAGTTTTATCTCGTTCTCAATTTGATATCATTTTGGTGAAACTGTTAGAGAGATAAAAGAAGTCCTTTTTCATCAAATTTAAATCTGGTGATCAATCCGATTCACCATTGGAGATGGTCTAAGTATCACAGCCATTACAACTAATGAAGATTGCTTACAGAAAGTTGCATCACAATTAAATTTGAAACCACTCGGGGGAGGTGGTTGCCATCCATCTGTCTCATCATCAGAATGTGTTGCAGGAGCTGTGTGTGAGCCATCATCTCCACTCACCTGGTTTTGAAGTTCTAACCATGCATCGACAATTTTCCAGAGAGTGTCCCTGCGATCAACAGGGGAGTGGTTGAAGACATGGTCATTTCTAGCCTTCCAAATGAACCAGCCAATCATAACTACCCCACTCAGAAAGGCTTGGCCAGATTCTGCAGAAACCTTTGTTCCCTCCCAATTAACAGTTCATTGCGCCACATTTGGTGCGGAGCCTTGATCAAAACGAAGACTTAACCAGCTTTCAAACCATACTGCTTTCGTCCACGCACAGTCAAATAACATATGCTCCACAGTTTCTAATTCTTGCAAACACACCGGGCACACTACAGAGGGAGAGCATCTTCGATTGAACAAATTTGTTTTAGTAGCTAACAAATTTTTGCATGCTCTCCACCAAAAATGACGCATCTTTGGGGGAAGATCAAGATTCCAGATATGCTTCCAGAGATGGAGGGGAGTTTGGAACGAAGTGGAGGCCTGATCACTAGGGGTACTGGCATGGGAGGCACAGGCTAAAGCACATCCAGATTTAACAGAGTAGAGACCAGACTTGTGTGGATGCCAAACCAAAATATCATCTTTACCTTCAGCTGATATAGGGATAGTCTTGATTGCATTGATGATATCCTTGGATATAGAATCTTGGAGAGATTCCAACTTCCACTGCTTGTGGACTGAATCAATTGCATTAGCAACAATATTAATATGGAATCATGAAGTTGCTAGTAGTTGGGATCCATCTATCTTCCCAAAAAAGATTAGATTTGCCATTATGGACCTGCCATCGAGTGCCTTTCAAAAGAACGGCCTTTTAATAAGCTAGACCAAGCCCATGAAGCTCTGGTACCACGAGGCGCATTCAAAAATTCAGATCTAGGGAACTAGAGTCCTTTGAGAATTTGTGCCCAATATGAAACATTTGAAACATTAATTTTGTGCATATAACTTTAGTACTTTTGGACAGTAAAATATTTGTGAAAAAATTTGAAACAAGATTATTGTAAACAAAATAAAAATGCATTTTTTGTTGTTTTTAGTAAAACTTTTTCATTTTTTTGACAAATATTCTACTTTCTAGGAATATTTAAAATAGGCCCATGTAAAAATAAAATTAAAATTAAAATTAAAACAATTTAAAAAAAAAAACTAGTGTCATTTTTCATAACAAAAATGCTTTAGAGCTCTAATATAGGAGCTCTAATAGCTCTAATGAGAAGGTGGGTCACATCCTGATGTGATGTTTGTGCCTTTTTGTTCTTTTTTTTTTTTTTTTTTTTTGCTTTGACACATCATTAGAACTCAAATTAGAGCTCTATATTTAGAGCTCTCTATCATTTCCCTTTTTTCAATTCACCTTAGTTTAGATAGATAGCGGATGAGAGGGCTAACTAAGTCAAATCAATCAGCCAACACCATTAAGAAAATAATGTTATGCTTCATACTTTGTGTTAAAAAAAAAATAATAAATAAATAAAAAATATTTAGTAATTATATTTATTGTTTATAAAATATGGAAGTTGAGTTTCTATTTATATTATAAAAAATCAAAAATCAAATATTTTAGACCCAAAATAATAAAGAATTATTGAAAAATAGTTCAATAAAAGACCCAAAATGATTAAGCCCAAACTATCAAACCAATCTGCATTTATCTGCCAACCCTCATGGTCTACTCAAACTACAGCCGCTAACTAAACAAACTGATGCAGATTGATTTTTCTCAATTCGCCTAAGTTCAGACAGATGGCGGATGAAAGGTCACTGGGCCTAACCTGATCCACGAGCACCCCTAGTGATCACTCTTCAAATATTTTAGTCACTTAAAAAATATATAAATAAATAAATAAATGATTAATTATGCTTTCAACCTTCATAATTTGACTCTAGTTTATTCTCTATTACTTCAAATAGAGTAATTTGATCCCTACACTTTAATTCTAATTTTAATTTGATCCTTCTATTTAAATTTTAATTTTAATTTTAAATCAACGATTTTAAAACATTTCTCAACCCCCTAAGTACACCAAAAAAATTAACTAAAATTTAAGTTGAATGACTAAATTGTGGCTACACTTAAGATCAGGCAGATTACATAATACCAAAAATCACTTCTTTTTTATTTCTTCCTCCTTTCTCTTCTTTGTTGTCATCGTCGTCTTCTTCTTCTCACATCTCTAAAGCAGTTTTCTTCACATAGATCATACTAGTTTGGCAGCCGATTTGAAGGAATTAAGTGTCTCACCCATAATTAACCCAGTACTCATCATCCATGGAAGTCCACAGCTCGAATCAGACCCTTCATGGATTCTGGAAGTGATGCTCAATTGGAGAGCATGGATGATGGAGAGTGTGTGTACCGAATTAGAAAGCAGACGTTGACCAGAACGTAGTCATTTAGGAGATTGCCCAGATTCAGTTTATGGAGTCGCTAGTCTTCAGATTGAGGTTGAGATTGAGAGAGATTAGTGTTAGGGAAAATCGATGATTCTTCACAAGTAAATCAATCAATGGGAATAAAAATTAATGCGGAAAAATTAAATCAAAAGCAACACAAAAATTTTTACGTGGTTCCCTCAATGTGAGATACGTTCACGGGATCGAAATCCGATTCCACTATCAACCAAATAAGTTCCAAACGATTACAAACGAGACACGAATGGTCTCACAAAATCACCCTTAGGTGAATTCCAAATAATCACAAATAAACAAAGAGGAAAGACTTCACCAAATAGATGAACCAAAATCTTCAAAACCAGAGTTGAAGAAAACCCAAAATAACGAACTAAATCAGAGCCGAAAATTGAACCAAACTGCTTCACAAATCAAAGCACCAATTCTTGATTGACCAAGTCAAATCAAGAATAACAAACAACCCAATTGAACCAAAGCTGCTGCCGTTTTTCTTTTTCCCACGGGATGAACAAAAACAAAACCTAAAATATTATGAATCTAAGATTTATTATCAAGCCTTAGTTGTTTCCAAATTGGATTGGGTCTCCTGAAATATAATATATAAAAATATATTATACCTAAATCAAGCCAAATTAAAATTCTTTAACAAACTAATTGAGTCCCACACTCCAATAAGGAGGTATACCCAACAATTCTCCCCCTACCGACTTAGGTGGAGACATCAACCATACCCGCCAAAGTTCGACACTTTAAATGTTTGTCCCTCGACAAAGTCTTCGTCAACATGTCCGAAATATTATCATCTGTGTGAACCTTTTCGAGTTGTAACAATTTCGAATCTAACACATCACGAATCCAATGGTATCTCACATCAATGTGTTTCGATCTCGAATGAAAAGTAGAATTTTTACTCAAGTGAATAGCACTTCGACTATCACAATAAAGCGCATACTTTTCTTGCTTCAAACCCAATTCCTACAAAAATTTCTTTAACCATAACTCTTCTTTGCAAGCTTCCGTAATGGCAATAAATTCAGCTTCGGTAGTTGAGAGAGCAACACATTTTTGTAATTTAGATTGCCATGCCACAGCTCCCCCTGCAAAAGTCATCAAATACCCCGAAGTAGATTTTTGAGAATCAACATCACCAGCCATGTCAGAATTTGTGAACCCATCAAACATCGGCTTACCATCCCCAAAACACAAACTCACCTTCGAAGTCCCTCGAAGATACCTTAAAATCCATTTTACCGCTGCCCAATGTTCTTTACCCGGATCAGAGAGAAAACGACTCACCACACCAACGGCGTGAGCAACATCCGGCCTTATACAAACCATGGCGTACATCAAAGAACCAACTGCTAAAGCATAAGGAACTTTCAACATCTCTTCTTTGTCTTCCTCACTTGTAGGACATTGATTCGAACTAAGCTTGAACTAAGCTTGAAGTGACCCGCAAGTGGACAACCAACCGACTTTGCTTTATTCATGTTGAACCTCTCAAGAACTTTCTCAATGTAACTTTCTTGAGATAACCAAATCAGTCCCTTTTTGCGATCACGAACAATTTTCATACCAAGTATTTGTTTTGCCGGTCCCAAATCTTTCATAGCAAAAGATTTACTCAACTCTAACTTCAACTTGTTAATCATGATAGAATCCTGACCCACAATTAACAAGTTATCAACATAGAGCAAAAGAATAATAAATTTACCATTCGAAATTTTTTTCACAAACACACAATGGTCCGAAGTGGTTTTAGAAAAATCATTATTCATCATAAAAGAGTCAAATTTTTTGTACCATTGCCGCGGGGCTTGCTTGAGACCATACAAACTTTTCTTCAATTTGCAAACAAATTTCTTTTTCCCTTTCTCTACAAAACCTTCCGGTTGCTCCATGTAAATTTCTTCTTCAAGATCACCATGAAGAAATGCGATCTTCACATCAAGTTGTTCAACTTCAAGGTTCATACTTGCAGCCATGCCAAGTACAACCCGAATAGAAGACATCTTTACAACAGGTGAGAAAATCTCGTCAAAATCAATACCTTTCTTTTGCCCAAAGCCTTTCACAACAAGACGTGCCTTGTACCTCAGATTCTTGCCATCATTCTTCAATTTGAAGACCCACTTATTTTTCAGAATTTTCCTCCCCTTAGGCAACTTCACTAAGTCATAGGTGTGATTTTCAAGTAAGGAGTTCATCTCCTCTTCCATGGCCTTTTTCCAATCACCTTTCTTTACATGCTCAATTGCTTCTTGGTAGCTCTCCGGCTCCCCTTGATCAGAAATCAACACAAATTCATTAGGAGGATACTTTCTTGAAGGTTGTCGGTCCCTTGTAGATTTTCTCAACTCAAGTTGTGGTGGTGGTTCTTGAGTTGGATGCTCTTCCTCAATTTCTGGCTCAACTTCATTAGAATTAGCATCATCCTCTATATCTTCAATAGGTGGCTGCACATCTTCCCCATTTTCATCATCAATTGAAGATGAAGGGGATGGATCCATGTCAATGAGATCACTAGTTTTTGGCTCCGGTTGATCACCTTTGCCAAAGTCTTCAATTGTTTGGTCTTCAAGAAACACAACATCACGGCTTCGAATGACTTTCTTGTCAACCGGATCCCACAATCTATACCAAAATTCATCACGCCCATAGCCAAGAAAAATACATTGCCTTGACTTACTATCAAGCTTGGACCTCTCATCCTTTGGAATGTGAACAAAGGCTCGACAACCAAACGCTCTCAAGTGCTCATAAGACACATCTTTACCGGTCCAAACTCTTTCTGGAACATCACCATTCAAAGGATACGAAGGAGACAAATTGATCGCGTCAACCGCTGTCTTTAATGCCTCACCCCAAAAGGATCTTGGCAATTTAGCTTGTGAAAGCAAACACCTTGTTCTTTCCACAATGGTGCGGTTCATCCTTTCGGCAACTCCATTTTGTTGAGGAGTCTTCTTAACTGTCTTTTGATGCCGAATACCTTGGCTGCGACAATACTCATCAAATGGCCCAATGTATTCACCACCATTGTCTGATCGGATGCACTTCAATTTCTGCCATGTTTCTCTTAGTTGAGAGAGCAACGCATTTTTGTAATTTAGATTGCCATGCCACAGCTCCCCCTGCAAAAGTCATCAAATACCCCGAAGTAGATTTCCGAGAATCAACATCACCAGCCATGTCAGAATCTGTGAACCCATCAAGCATCGGCTTACCATCCCCAAAACACAAACATACCTTCGAAGTCCCTCGAAGATATCTTAGAATCCATTTTACCGCTGCCCAATGTTCTTTACCCGGATTAGAGAGAAAGCCGCTTGTGCCACAATTCGGTAGAAGTATTATTTTGAAGTGCATTGACAACACCTTTACAAATTTTTCCTTGCATCGAATAAAGTGTATGAGTCTTCTTACACTTAGCTACCACCAAGGAACCCTTTGTGAGCTTCCATATTCCATCACCAAATTTGTTGTTGTAGCCTTCATCATCTAGCTTCCCGGTAGAGATCAAATTGAGGCGAATGTCGGGAACATGCCTCACATCTTTAAGTAACAACTTGCAGCCCAAATTTGTTTCCAAGCAAACATCACCCATGCCAATAATCTTGGACAAACCTTCATTACCCATTCGAACAAAACCATAGTCTCCTTCGGTGTAGGTAGTGACGAAATCAACTCAAGAAGTCACATGAAAAGAAGCACCGGAATCAATCACCCAATTGCTCTCTTAGCCCACAAAATTGATACAATCATCTTCACAAACGACCATGAGATCACCATTGGTAGTAACTGCTGTTGTGTCTTCTTGCTTCTTATCCACACTTTTATCACGCATTTTTCTCCTTGTTCTTTAGTTTTCGGCATTCTCGCTTCATGTGCCCTTTCTCATGGCAATAATAGCACTCAATATCTTTCTTTGAAAAAGAACCATCTCTTGATTTGTCACGGCTTTGATCACGACCATGAGGAGTCTTACTTCTCCCCCTTGTTTTGCTTCGGCCTCTCACAACGAATGCTTCCGAATGAGAGGAACCCGCTGATTTTCTTCTAGTTTCTTCATTTAACAGGCTATTAGTGACTTGGCCCATTGTGACAACTCTATCGAGCGCCGAATTACTGACGGTCACAACCAAAGTCTCCCAACTTTCGGGCAAAGAACTAAGTAGCATCAAAACCTGCAACTCATCATCAAAAGCAATTTTCATAGAAGCAAGTTGGTTAACAATACTCTTTATTTCATTCAAATGCTCCGGAACAGGGCTACCCTCTTTATATTTTAAATTAACCAACTTACGAAACAGAAAGGCTTTATTTGTGGCTGATTTTCTATCATAAAGGCCCTCTAATTTTTTCCATAAATCATGTGCTGAAGTTTCAGTAGCAACATGATGAAACACACTGTCATCAATCCATTGACGGATAAGACCAACGGCTTTTCGATTAAGCCTATTCCATTCATCATCTTTCATACCCTCGAGTTTGCCACTATCACCCGCAATGGGTCCATACAAATCTTTACAAAATAATAGGTCATTTATTTTAGTTTTCCAAGTTACCCAATTGCTTCCATTGAAGCTAGACATACGACTCACATTCTCCTCCATTAATTTACACAAATAAATAAACTCAAATAAACCGTAAGCTCTGATACCAGTTGTTAGGAAAAATCAATGATTCTCCACAAGTAAATCAATCAATGGGAATAAAAACTAATACGGAAAAATTAAATCAAAAGCAACACAAAAATTTTTATGTGGTTCCCTCAATGTGAGGTACGTCCACGGGATCGAAATCCGATTCCACTTTCAACCAAATAAGTTCCAAACGATTACAAACGAGACACGAATGGTCTCACAAAATCACCCTTAGGTGAATTCCAAATAATCACAAATAAACAAAGAGGAAAGACCTCACCAAATAGATGAACCAAAATCTTCAGAACCAGAGTTGAAGAAGACCCAAAATAACGAACCAAATCAGAGCCGAAAATTGAACCAAACTGCTTCACAAATCAAAGCACCAATTCTTGATTGACCAAGTCAAATCAAGAATAACAAACAACCCAATTGAACCAAAGCTGCTGCCGTTTTTCCTTTTCCTACGGGATGAGCAAAAACAAAACCTAAAATATTATGAATTTAGGATTTATTATCAAGCCTTAGTTGTTTCCAAATTGGATTGACTCTCCTGAAATATAATATATAAAAATATATTATACCTAAATCAAGCCAAATTAAAATTCTTTAACAAACCAATTGAATCTCACACTCCAATAAGGAGGTGTACCCAACAATTAGGAGATTATGATCTGTGATAGGAAGCTCTCGGAACAGTATTGTTCAATAATTTTAGATCAGATTTTAAACAACTTTCATTGCAGACCAGCTCTTTCAATGCATGTATATTCGTTGATAATTTTGAATTTCATTTGCATTTTGTTTTATACTATAGCAAACAGTTTTCTTATCGCAAATTATACTGTAGTTTGTTTATTGCGTCGATTAGGTCAAAACAATTCTAATTGCAACAATTTTAAGGTTGGGTATAGCTTCTTTTTTTTTTAATTTTAATTTTTATTTTTTTAATAACATTTTTATCATTTTAGTAAAGTTTTTTATTTTTTTTATTTTTCAAAAAGAAATCTTTTCAAATTTAAGTACAAATGAACTCGACTGACTTAAAAAAAAAAATTAAAAATAATAATTTGAAAAAAAGTCTATTAAAAAAAATAAGCTGACTTTTACTTTTTTTTTTTTTACTTCTTTTAAATATATATAGTGCTACCACTAATGATGTGACAGTAGGCCCCACCATGAATGATTTGATGTTTTGACCTTGGTGTTGTATTTTTTTTCTTTTTTTATTAAGTGTCATGTCATTAGAGCTCTTTTTAGAGCTCCAAAATTAGTGGTCTCTATCATTGTTGATATATATTTTTTTGTCCAACAATGATTCATCCCACTAAAAACATCACCACTAATAGCACTAATGCATTAAAAAAGTAAAAAAATAAAATAAAAAATACAACTCCAAGAACAAAATATCACATCATTAATGACGGGACCCACTGCCACCTAATTGGTGGGATTAGTGCTCCCAAGCATTTTTCTTTTTTGTCTTTGTAAATACTTTTGAATTTATTTTTTTGTTATTTTTTAGATCCTTTTAAAATAGATGGAATTGAAAAGAAAAAAGATTTGACACAAACTTTTTAAATTTCACTAAAGTAAAAAAAATTTAAAAATTCTAATTCGTCAATTAATGGACAAAATAGTTATTTTATTATCCTGGAATTGATTTAGAAGTTGTTGCCTGTAATAGGTCCAGTGGTATTTTTTTTTGGGTGATAATTTCATACTTTGTGAAATAGTTTGGTGATAAATTCTAAAAGACATTTTGGATTTGTTTGATTCGAGGGATTAGGGGGGATTATTTACTGTTCGGATTGCTTATCTAATGGAGGGAGATGTCATCGTTTGGCGCAATTTTAGTCCACCGGATATGGAGTCTGGATGGACTTCATATCCCTCGTATGAGGGACTAGACAATCCTAGGGGGAGGTGGGATTATTTTTATAGAATTGGTATCCCATGGGACTAATGTGTAAAATGTCCATTTTACTCTCATGTTATCACTTAGTAAACAATTGAAAAAAAGTAAAATAGTTTTTTAAACATTTATAAATTATTTTTTAGTGTTGTTAATTTGAAATTATAAAAAATATAAATTATAAATTATAAATTTAATTTAATTAAAAATAATAAATTAAATTTTTTTAGTGTTGTTAAATTATAAATTATAAATTATAGATTACAAATTTAAAATTTAAAATTATATATTAAATAAAAAATATAAATTATAAATTACAAGGGTAAAATAATTTTTTGAACATTTATTATTATCCAGTTCGTCCAACCAAACATTGATTCACTAAAAATAGTTCTTTCCAAATATCTAATCCCATGAGAAAACAAACACGGGATACACATCCAATCCAACCAAATAGTCCGGCGGATTCACAATCCCAAGATTTAAGTCCGATAGATTTTAATCCCCCTTATCCGATTTTAATCTCCCTTTTCCGGTCCGTCCAATTAAACACATCCTTTGTCTCTAATTTTATCCATAAAATTTTTTTATCTGTTTGACTTTTCGTTGACTATCTGTTTAATTTTTTCGTCTATCTTTTCAATTTTTTTTGTCTATCTGTTCAATTTTTTCTATCTAATTTTTCTATCTATTCAAATTTTTATGTGTAAATTTTTTGCTTGTCCAAATTTTATCTATGCAAATTTTCTATCTATCCAAATTTTACTTGTCTAATTTTTTACCTATTTAATATTTTTATCGGTACAAATTTTCAAATATTACACTCAAATCGTATCCGTTCAAATTTTGCAATGAACAAGCCTTCCTTAACCTCACTTCTCAATTAACTAGTGTTTCTTGAAATCTTTGTCACTCGACAGTTTGGTCAAGAATTCTCTATATGCCAAAATACTCTACACTCATATCTGATTCATACCAAAATGAACAATCTGGTTCAGCTACTAATTATTGTACTTTGTAGATTAACATTTAAAATAAAAAATCGAATATTGTATTTTTTATTTTAAAAAAATTGAACAATCTGATTCATACCAAAATGAACAATCTGATTCATATTGAATATTAATAATCTGATGGATACCAAATTGAATATTGTATTCATACGAAAATGAACAATCTGATTCATACTAAATTAAATATTGTATTTTTTATTTTTAAAATTTTGAATCTGATTCATATCTGATTCATACCAAATGCAATATTGCATTTTTTATTTTTTAAATAAAAAATTGAAGCACCGAAGACACGTTCATCAGAATCATCTTCTGCATTCGCATGTAACTCAATACTTGGACATGGATTCATAGTAAGAAAACTCAAAATACAAGCAATACGAAGTAATATCTTCGCAATATGCAAGATCCATAGAACACAAAGCCAAATCCACACTATAGTTACGAGATCAGATCTGTACCTTGATCTAGAAGAAGAGAGAGAAGACACAAAGGCTTCGAGATTAGAGAATCTGGTTCAGATTATGGTTTAGGATAGCGCAGATATGAAATAGAGCTTCCTCGCTTCTGGCTCGCCATCGCACACAAGTTATACCTACGGCGACTATGGATCTGCAGATTTGGCTGCTCAATGAACGGCAGCGCAATACGACGGTGGACGACGGCGGATCAGATTTGACATTGAAGGCTTTTAGAGAAATAGAAAGAGAAAATAAGAAGAGATGTGAATGTTTAAGAGAGAGGAAACGAGAGGAGAGAGAGAGAGAAGGTGCAGATCGGCGGTGACAGAGGAGATCGACTGTGACAGAGCTGATCGATGGTGAAGATGAAGAGGAGAGTGAGAGCTAAGGTTTGGAGAGGAAGAGAGACAGGTGTTTGCAATTGAGAGGAGAGGGTCTGCCGTGTATGTCATATATATATAGGGGTGTTTTGGTCATTTTGTCTAAACTAAAATATTTCCACACCTCAATCTTTGGAGAAATTCTATTTCCACACGCCAAATTATCTCAGTGTATATCTTTTCTCAATTCACACATTTAGTAATTTGATTTATACTTCTTTATCTCAGTCTCCATAATTCACATTCTCAAATATATCCTCACTTTTTCTGTGCACATCATCTACTTCCATCTTTCCTCAAACAAAGCATTACGGAATAGTGAGTTCCCCTGTCCAAACCCTTGCTGTAAATGCATCGTACAACATGCCCCGGCATTGACAATTAAATTAACGGAATCATAATGCAGCCGGTAAAAGAAGTAATTGGTTAAAGCTCCTCCTGTTGCTACATATTACTGTAGTAACAGGTTATAATTGAACAAATCTACATGACAAGCAATTCTATCTAAAAAAACTTATTGAGCACAAGAAAGAGAAATTACACAAGTGCTTGTACTCAACATGCTTTTTATGATCCTGAAAAGCACAACCATATGCCTCCTTACAAAATAGTTCAAGAAACTTCTTCTGCAATCAAAAAGAAAAAAAAAAAAAATGGAGACTAAGAATTAAATGGCAGCATAATGAATAGTAATGGCCAAACAGGAAAAGGAATTAATGGCATTAATTGTTTAAATTTCATTTTCATAACGAAATTCGCCGATTGAAAAAGTTATACAATCTGGTATTGTTTCCCGCTTTGTATGGTTGAGGTTTGGACATGGGAGGCAATGGCCGGCTGTGGCCGGCGGTGAAGTGGCTGGTGAGATGGTGGGGGTGAGATGTATATGTTAGATAATGTCTCAATGGGACCACATAATTAAATGTGGTGTTATCATTTATAAGAAGCCTACAATTTAAGTGATTCAATTTAGTTAATAGGCTTAAGGGTATATATGTGTTATGGACCTAATGTGTAGATACTAGTTGTATAATTTCTATTTCTATGAGGGGCAGAAATAGAAATTAAAACATATTGGTTAAAGTTGGTTTTCATTACCTTTCAGTTTTAAAACCAATAATAATAATGGTTAATTTATTAGTTTTTATTACCTTTCAGTTATGAAACCAATAATGGTAATTTATTGGTTTTCATTACCTTTCAGTTTTAAAACCAATAATAATAATGGTTAATTTATTAGTTTTTATTACCTTTCAGTTATGAAACTAATAATGGTTAATTTATTGGTTTTTATTACCTTTCAGTTATGAAACCAATAATGGTTAATTTATTGGTTTTCATTACCTTTCAGTTATGAAAACCAATTACAACCTTTAAAAGGTTATGGTCCCTATTCCTTCCCAAGGGTGAAAAAAATAAGAACACTGCCATTTTGTTTTCTAAATCTTCTAAAGGAGAAACATAAGGCACATAAGGGAAAGGATTAGAAGGCTCTAACAAAGTCAATATTAAGGTTTTATTGATAATCAGACACTTCCGTTTAACCGTTCATCGATGGATTCAGGTATGTTGTTTTTGTCTTGATTTCTTGATAATACACATGGTAAATGATCCGAACACATGAAGTTCTGAAATTTATGTTAACAAGTGGTATCAAAGCCATCATATCATGTGTCTTATCAGAATTGATATGCTTTATTCATTCTATTTAGTTTCTTGGAATCAGATTCTGAATTTTCTTATGGATTTAAATTCTGTTTTTTTCCTGTTTTGTTCTGTGAAAATGGCAATCTATTTTCTGGAATTGTAAAATGATTCGGTGGGCAGTTTTTTTTATATATGTATATTCCTTCCTGGATGGACCCCTTGATCTTATTCCTCAGAGACCGGACTCTACCAACTGAAAAGAAAGAAGCCCACAAAATCCGGGTGAAGTCAGAGCGGTTTTGGCTCTCTCCATCTGGTGCGCTGTATAAAAAATCCTTTAATGTAATTTCATACAACGTCTACAGAAATTTAATTTTCTAACATTCTCAATATAAGTCAATTCAAACAAGATGTCACAAAAGTGATCTCTCTTGTGTAGATTGTTTTATATGGAATGTTTTGATGTTCATGTCTGTGTATCTCATGCGGGTATTTATCAGTCCAAAGACATGATTAATACTTGGCAGAATTACACACACATTTTGTGGTGACAAACATGTGCTAATTGTCAAGAAAACCTAATGTGAATAATAAATCCATCAAAAGATAGATTTGTTATTTGACATAACTTATTGTCAATGTTTGATCATTACAACAAGAATACCACTTACAGTTAATATCACTGCCCAAAGGCTTGGTATTAATGTTGTGCTAGGTATCTTGAGATGTTGTTATTAAATTAATTTATTTAGAGATTATCTGTTTGGTAACTTTATGTGAGCATAATTGTTTAAAAGGTTATCCTGCTGAGGCGAGGCCTTATAAACCTCATGAACGAAAATTGGACTCTAAAACCATTAGCAGCTACTTTATTGGCTATGCCGAACGATCACGGGGTTACAAGTTTTATGATCCCACAAATAGGCAATATTTGAGACGGGAATTGCAACATTTTTTTGAGGATGTTGAGTTTGGGGGGAGAAATCCAGTTAGAGACATTGTCTTTGAGGAGGAAGCAGGAGTAATCCCACTTCCTACTACTACTTTTGACCAATCACAGGTTCCTATACCTGTCATTGCTCGAGAAGTAATTTCGAATCCTCAACTTGACAATGTTGTTCAAGATAATATAGTTCAAACCCCCATTCAAGATGAGGTAATTGTTCCTGAGGAACAAACTCTACAACAATTGTTCCTGACCCATTCAAGATGAGGTAATTGTTCCTGACCCATTCAAGATGAGGTAATTGTTCCTGACCCATTCAAGATGAGGTAATTGTTCCTGACCCATTCAAGATGAGGTAATTGTTCCTGACCCATTCAAGATGAGGTAATTGTTCCTGACCCATTCAAGATGAGGTAATTGTTCCTGACCCATTCAAGATGAGGTAATTGTTCCTGACCCATTCAAGATGAGGTAATTGTTCCTGACCCATTCAAGATGAGGTAATTGTTCCTGACCCATTCAAGATGAGGTAATTGTTCCTGACCCATTCAAGATGAGGTAATTGTTCCTGACCCATTCAAGATGAGGTAATTGTTCCTGACCCATTCAAGATGAGGTAATTGTTCCTGACCCATTCAAGATGAGGTAATTGTTCCTGACCCATTCAAGATGAGGTAATTGTTCCTGACCCATTCAAGATGAGGTAATTGTTCCTGACCCATTCAAGATGAGGTAATTGTTCCTGACCCATTCAAGATGAGGTAATTGTTCCTGACCCATTCAAGATGAGGTAATTGTTCCTGACCCATTCAAGATGAGGTAATTGTTCCTGACCCATTCAAGATGAGGTAATTGTTCCTGACCCATTCAAGATGAGGTAATTGTTCCTGACCCATTCAAGATGAGGTAATTGTTCCTGACCCATTCAAGATGAGGTAATTGTTCCTGACCCATTCAAGATGAGGTAATTGTTCCTGACCCATTCAAGATGAGGTAATTGTTCCTGACCCATTCAAGATGAGGTAATTGTTCCTGACCCATTCAAGATGAGGTAATTGTTCCTGACCCATTCAAGATGAGGTAATTGTTCCTGACCCATTCAAGATGAGGTAATTGTTCCTGACCCATTCAAGATGAGGTAATTGTTCCTGACCCATTCAAGATGAGGTAATTGTTCCTGACCCATTCAAGATGAGGTAATTGTTCCTGACCCATTCAAGATGAGGTAATTGTTCCTGACCCATTCAAGATGAGGTAATTGTTCCTGACCCATTCAAGATGAGGTAATTGTTCCTGACCCATTCAAGATGAGGTAATTGTTCCTGACCCATTCAAGATGAGGTAATTGTTCCTGACCCATTCAAGATGAGGTAATTGTTCCTGACCCATTCAAGATGAGGTAATTGTTCCTGACCCATTCAAGATGAGGTAATTGTTCCTGACCCATTCAAGATGAGGTAATTGTTCCTGACCCATTCAAGATGAGGTAATTGTTCCTGACCCATTCAAGATGAGGTAATTGTTCCTGACCCATTCAAGATGAGGTAATTGTTCCTGACCCATTCAAGATGAGGTAATTGTTCCTGAGGAACAAACTCTACAACCTCAACCTCAAGAATCTGTGCCATTAAGGCGATCCACCAGAGAAAGGAGATTTGCATTTTCAGATGATTATATTGTATATCTCCAGGAACATGAGGTAGAAAATGGAATGTCGAAAGAGGATCCAATCAACTTTCGTCAAGCCATGGAAAGTTCCAACTCTCATAAGTGTTATTACCTTTCAGTTATGAAACTAATAATGGTTAATTTATTGGTTTTTATTACCTTTCAGTTATGAAACTAATAATGGTTAATTTATTGGTTTTTATTACCTTTCAGTTATGAAACTAATAATGGTTAATTTATTGGTTTTTATTACCTTTCAGTTATGAAACTAATAATGGTTAATTTATTGGTTTTTATTACCTTTCAGTTATGAAACTAATAATGGTTAATTTATTGGTTTTTATTACCTTTCAGTTATGAAACTAATAATGGTTAATTTATTGGTTTTTATTACCTTTCAGTTATGAAACTAATAATGGTTAATTTATTGGTTTTTATTACCTTTCAGTTATGAAACTAATAATGGTTAATTTATTGGTTTTTATTACCTTTCAGTTATGAAACTAATAATGGTTAATTTATTGGTTTTTATTACCTTTCAGTTATGAAACTAATAATGGTTAATTTATTGGTTTTTATTACCTTTCAGTTATGAAACTAATAATGGTTAATTTATTGGTTTTTATTACCTTTCAGTTATGAAACTAATAATGGTTAATTTATTGGTTTTTATTACCTTTCAGTTATGAAACTAATAATGGTTAATTTATTGGTTTTTATTACCTTTCAGTTATGAAACCAATAATGGTTAATTTATTGGTTTTCATTACCTTTCAGTTATGAAAACCAATTACAACCTTTAAAAGGTTATGGTCCCTATTCCTTCCCAAGAGTGAAAAAAAACAAGAATACTGTTTTGTTTTCTAAATCCTCTCAAGGAGAAACATAAGGCACATAAGGGAAAGGATTAGAAGGCTCTAACAAAGTCAATATTAAGGTTTTATTGACAATCAGACGCTTCCGTTTAACCGTTCATCGATGGATTCAGGTATGTTGTTTTTGTTTTGATTTCTTGATAATACACATGGTAAATGATCCGAAACATGAAGTTCTGAAATTTATGTTAACAGTATATAGAGAAATTGTGAGATGTGTGGGTGACATGGTGGTGGGTGAGATGGTAATTATGTTAAAGGATAAAACTGTGATTTTGAAAAAATTCATTAACTATGTGGAGTGAGGAAACTTGGTGTGTGGAAAAAGAATTTCCCTAACCTTTGGGCAAAAAATTTTTGAAAATAAATTTATAGAGCGATTGCCCTAATTCATTTCCTTTCAAATATATTATTTTACCATTGATTTCTATCTATTTTCGTAACAAAAACTGGTATATTATCCGTGCTATGTGTGTGTATAAATAAATAATTAAAAATTATTTTTTAAATTAAAATAATAATACAAAATTTAAATTATATAGTAAAAATAATTTATAATTAATTGAATTTTAATCATTTTTATTAGAGTTAGACATAGGAGAAGATTTTTATTCTGATATCATTAATTGTGTATTCTAAGTTCTTAATAAAAAATTGCATGTCATAATTTAATTGATAAAAATTAAAGAATAAATTACAAAAATTATATTTACTATAAAATATAAATACGTTTTGTTTTGTAAGTTTCGTAATTTTAATTTACTATATGATAGTAATAAATTACATTTGTTAATATACTAATTTTTTCTTATTTTGTTGAACCTAAAAATTTGTGTACTCAAAATTATGAAAATTAATTAGGATTGACTTGTTGTGTTGGACTATACATTAGAAGTGACCTAGAAGCTACTTGACTCAATAGTTATACTAATGTGACATTCACCTAATTATTAAAAGTTGTCTTTTATCGATTCGTGACCGATATGAGCGACTTTGGCGGTTCAAATATTGGATTAAATATTAAAAATTAACCTAAAAAATCTAGTTTGAGTCATTTTTCAACAATTCTTGGCTTAAGTTATACTATATCATATTTTAATAATTCAATATAAAATAACTCAATATCATAAAAAAATTAAAATAAATAATCTTAGTGTTTATGAATAATATTATCAATAATAATAATAATAATAATAATAATAATATTAAGAGAATTGCATTTGAACAAATTGTAACATAAAATTTTTACTTTAAAATTTTAAGACTTTACACATTTTATTTGACTCTATAACTAATTTTTGAGATGGGAATTAAAATAAATTTCAATCATTATTATATAGAGAGACATGTGTGATAATTTATAGTACACAATTTTAAAAAGTAATCACCATGTTTGTTTTGCAGTTTTTTGAAAATACTTTTTAGAAAATTCTACTTTATTATTTTTTGTTTTTTTTGTTTTTACTAATTTTTTTTAATATTTTAAGCAATTGTTTTAATTTTTAGATACACCTAAAAAGTATAATTTTTGTGAAAAACAAATCTTTAAAAAATTCACTAAATACCAAAAATAGAAAAAAAAATAGAAAGATTATTGTTTGGCATACACTATTTTAGTCTATCTTTTTATCTTTTTATCTTTTTTAGGTCATATCAATCAACATCTCCTCTCTACTTTTCTACACATCTTTTTATAAAAAGTACACTTATTTATAATATCCCAAACCACAGTATATTTTTTCGTATTTTGTGTATTTATTAATTTTTAAAAATATTTTTTTACAAATATTTTATTTTTTAAATATATCTAAATAAGGTGCATTTAAAAAAGTAAACACAAGCTTAAAATTTTAAAAATATTCACTAAAAATAAAAAAAACACGAAAAATAAAAAAACTCAGTTTTCAGAAAACTGAATTCAGAAAACTAAAACCTAACACACTGAATATTAATTCAAATTTTTCAGTATGGAAAATATGTACCCATCTTTATGTTGTGTTTGATTTATGGATTTGAGTAGGAATTTTGAATGAGAAATGAAAAAGATAGATGAAATATAATTAGATTTTACTCAATTTCACACTCCTTTTCATTTTTCCTTTCAAAATTTATACCCAAAATCATGAAACAACCATATCATCAATGTTTGAAAAGAGTTTTAGATCCTTTATTTTATTGATATACACAATCTAAAAAAAACCTATATAATATTTGGTGGGAGAAGCAAATTCTTAAAATGAATCATCAATCACATTATAAAAGAATAAAAGTTAGCTAATAAAATATTTGTTAATTATTTAAAAAAATTAAACATCAAGAAAAATAAACTATGGAAGATGTGAATTGATTCCTATATTTTATAGGTACAAAAATCTAAATTTTAAAATTGTTCATTTTCAAATTTTTAAATTTAAATTTTTAAATAGATTAATTAACTTTCTTTTTAAAATGTGTAATTCAAGGTATGACAAGATTTTTGTTAAATGATTCAATAAAAGCTATAAGATTTTTTTAATAAAAATTTTAAAACTAATGAATTAACTTTTCTTTTCAAATTTCTAAATAGATTAATTAAGTTTCCTTTTGAAATATGTAAATCAAGGTATAATAAGATTTTTTTTTTTAAATGATGCAATAAAATTTAGAAGATTTTTTTAAAAAATTTTAAAACTGATTAGTTAACTTTCTTTTGCAAATTTCTAAATTTATTTATAAATAGATTAATTAACTTTTCTTTTGAAATGTGTAAATCAAAGCATGATAAGATTTTTTTTTAATAATTCAATAAAAATTAACCAATAGAAGATTTTTTAATTATTTAAAAGATAAGAATTGTAAAAAAAAAGTAAGAGAGTTTTGAATTTCACAAAGCTGTTCTCATTAGAAACTTTATTTTTCTTAATATATAGTATAGATTATCAATTAAATTAAGCCAAATTAATACAATTGAAATTACATAATCAAACACATGAAAGCAAAGCACAGGATATAATATAATTTGCTCATTTTCTTATCTACAAATAGAAAAAGGGGCGGAGAAAAACAAAATCAAATACAAAAAACAAAAAAAGAAATTGAAATGCCAATCAATTCTCTACATTGTATATCTCCCAACAAAGAAACTCACTTACAGCTGAACAAGCTTTGCCATTCAGCTTACGTATACGTTTGAATTACTGTATATGTGCTTGTAAATGACACAATTATCCACGATGAATATCTTTTTTTCTTTTTTAATAGCTTGTTATTTGGCCTACTAGATCAATTTATCCAAAGATCAATCTCACCATCTATTAGCGGATGGCCAATTAAAGTAGGGACAAAACCCATTATAAACTGCTCTCTAGAAATTGCTTGCAAATGACACAATTATCCTCGATCAATCTCCCTACAACACTTACCTCTTCAATTCTCAATCTGTTAGTATGCCTATTCCATAGGTGTACCCCATAAGTTTCCACACTCAGCTGATGCAACTTGGCTTCAACCCATATTGAATGAATCCGATTAATCGGTTTTTTTTTTTTTTTTTTTTTTAAAAAAAAAAAAAACCCTACCTAGTTCCAGTCTGCCAGATAAAAAGCCATCGGTGGCAAAACAATGAAATTTAAATGTGTACTATCCTGTCCTGTTTCCATTCTACAAACCACCCTCGAAACCAAGTATGCTCCATTATGCCCCCACCTATTCCCATCCAAATTGGATTCAAATTCCTCCATGAAGCAAGTATTTTTGTCAAAAACAAGCACTGCATTCACCACAAGAAAATACACCTACGGCGACCAAATTAGTGACTAAAAAAATTTTTAGTCGCTGAAAGTATAGGTTTTGGCGACTAAAACAACATTAGTAGCTAAAAGTAAAACTTTTTGGCCACTAAAAAAATTTAGTTGCCAAAAGTATAGGTTTTGGCGACTAAAAATCAGTTTAGTCGCCAGTTATCTACTTTGGGCTACTAAAATATTTAGTCGCCGAATGGAAAATAAAAAAAAGGATTTTTTCTCTTTGGCGACTAAACTTTGGTCACCAAAAATATACTTTCAGCGACAAAAAAAATTTTAGGAGCCAAATATTGACTTTTCGCTACTAAAATATTTAGTAGCCGAATGGAAAATAAAAAAATAATTTTTCTCTTTGGCGACCAAACTTTTAGTCGCTGAAAACGTACTTTCAGCGACAAAAAGAAATTTAGTCGCCAAAACTAAAATATTTGGAGGGATTAATTTCAAAATTTAGAGATATTTTATAAAACTAATCGGCAACTAATTGAGATTGAGTCACTAATGGTCTTTTCGCTACATTACACTTTTGGCTACAAAAAGTTTAGTCGGTATTGATTATTCTTTGGCGACCAAATATAAGTTTAGTCGCTAATGGTAGAAACAGTTTTTTTGTTTTAGAGGGAACTGAATATTGGCGGCCGCGCCCCTCTTTCACACAAATTTTTTTTTTTTTTCAGATGAGAAGACAAAAATAGTTGCATATAACTTCTAAGGGCCTTTCCCCATTTTCTTCTTATTCAGTTCAATCTCTTGCTGCTTTCAAATTTCATCTATCAATTTCCACATTCCTCCATCAACTCTCTTCATTTCAAACCCTAATTCACTACTTTCGTTATCCATATCATCAATAAACTAAGTCACTGACAATCGTGAATTTTCAAACCCTAATCAACGCAGATTCGATCTTCGAAATTCAATCAGTTTGGTTTGGGGAATTGGAGAGACGATGAGTGCTCAGAAGAAGAGGAATTTTCAGATAGAAGCTTTTAAACATCGGGTCGTGGTGGATCCGAAATACGCAGAGAAGACTGGGAAGATCTTGGAACATGCGATTCAGGAGATATACAATCACAACGCTAGTGGCCTTAGTTTTGAAGAGCTTTACAGGTTGATTTCTTGACTTCGTATTAAAATTTTCCTATTTCTGTGTTTTGTTATTGAGATATATATAGCCCACTTAAGAAAGACTCTGAAGAACTTAGGTGGATTTTTGTGTGATACGCGCATCAAGCGTTTTGCCCCAATTGTTAAGTGTCTCACATTGCAGTCCTTAAGCTCCTTGAAACTTTTATGTCTTTTTTTATAGAATGAACAATACTCCACTAAAGAGAACATTCATCTATTCTAGTGTGCCCTTTGTACCAGTTCGTGGAAGCCAGGGCTCGTGTTTATTTTTTAAAAAAGCAGTTTGTTGTGTATGTGGTGATTTACCTGGAATCAATTTGAATTTTTTCATCAAGACATTAATGTCAAATGCTGCATATTGGCAAGGACATATTAAAAATCTTTTTTGCTAACTTCCATCAGTTTTGCCTCTGAATGCTCTGTGCTTCTCATAATTTTGTTATGTATTTAGGAATGCTTACAATATGGTTTTGCACAAATTTGGGGAGAACCTGTACTCTCGACTTGTGTCGACTATGACATCACATCTAAAGGAAATAGCAAGATCAATTGAGACTTGGTGAATTCTGTTGCATTAGAATCACAATGGAATGTTACGATATATTTGGGTTGATCAAAAGCTCGTTCACTCTAACTGTGTTGTTCCCCTCATAATGCTAGGTTTTCATTTGATCCCACTGCCAATTTGGGTCTTGATGTAGCATCATGCATTATTACAAGGTATGTTTGGCTATACTCAATAAGAGGAACTACTTGTAAAATAATATTAATAATATATATTTTTTGTGTCTTAAGATTTCAATTTGGAGTTAAGGTGGCTATTGGATTAATTTACTGGATATATCAGCCGTATTCACCACCTTTCTTTTATTACTGAAGGGCTCCATTAGGACAAGATGCTGAAGGAAAAACAAAATATGTCATTCGCCCGTAAGTCTTCTTGTCCATTTCTTTTCTCTTGATCGGGTTAATTCTTAAGGATAGAGCTATTAGCTTTCAACTAGTAATACAGACAAATTTGCATTAAAATGTGATAATCTGAAGAGGCTATTCTTATCTGCGTACTCCATCCATGGCATGCCATACTCTTTTTTTGAAAAGCACGCCGTAAGTCATAAATGCGACAGAAATTCTTAGTTAAATTTCCAAGGAATCTAGAAGTTTTAGGTTCGGAATTTTGTAGAACACCTTCGTGGAAGAGCATAGGTTTATGCATTTTTTAATTACTAATCATTTGAGTAGCATATTTTTCTTTTTCCTCCTCCCTCACCCTTTCCAACAAACAAGGAGTCCATGAGGGGAAAAAAAAGAAAAGAAAAAAGACTGCGAGTGTGCAGGTTTGAAGAATGTTCAAGTCCATGAGGGGAAAAAAGGCGTTTTGGGGGGAAAAATTCAAAACAGCTCCCGAACCTTCGTTTGGCCGACACGGGCAGCTTCCCCATGCCAAATAGGATTTGTGACAACTGATGGAATGTTATTCGGACCTATAGGTTGGGATTTAGAGCCGAACACGTCCAAAACTTAGTCGAAAAATGGCGTTTCAGGGGCAAAAATTCAAAACAGCCCCCAAACCTCCGTGTGGTCAAAACGAACAGTTTCCCCATGCCAAATATGAGTTGTGACAACTGACGGAATGTTATTCAGACCTATAGGTTAGGATTTAGAGACGAATGCGCCCAAAACTTAGTCGAAAAAGGGCGTTTCGGGGGCGAAAATTCAAAACAGCCCCCGAACCTCTGTTTGGCCGACACGGGCAGCTTCCCCATGCCAAATAGGACTTGGGACAACCGACCGAATGTTATTTGGACCCGTAAGTTGGGATTTAGAGACGAATACGCCCAAAACTTAGTCGGAAAAGGGCGTTTCGGGGGCGAAACTTCAAAACATCCCCCGAACCTCCGTCTGACTCTCACGGGCAGCTTTCCCATTACAAATAGGACTTGTGACAACTGACGGAATGTTTTAAACTTGCTAATTTTGTGAACGTACACACGTGTGTTATTATTTTTATCACACGTTCTAATATCCTCTCTAAAATGGCATTGACATACATTAATAAGCACCGATGGTATGCAAATATAAATTGGTTTTCATAATTTGGAATGCTGAATGGATGAGATTGGTGGTTTTACTTTGCAGATACATTGATCAATTCTCAAGGTGCCTTTATGTGGAGTACAAGAAGAATGGGATCGATGTGCAGTGTCAGGTATGCTTGTTTTTTGGAACCCCCTTCTTGCTACATTGCCTTTCCTAGTTCATGTTACTTTCGGACAATATGTCGCTAAGATTTATTGAAGAAATTCTACTTTGTTCTTACTCTCCATTGTTCAAATGCCCAACAATTGGATCTGTGTATAATTCAGTATTGCAGTTTAACTTGGTTCTAAAATTTTCTAATCTTATTTGAAGTCATAAAGTAACTTAGCAAAAAAAAAAAAAAAAAAAAGAAGGTAACTTAGCAAGTATATAGAACATTAAAAAATTGTCAAGCCATGGATACATTTTTATTATGCTTCTATGACTTGATTAAGAAAGTTCTATGGTATAAATCTTCTTATAAGATTTGTCTCTGTAAGATAACCATTTTTATATTGTGATGGTGATAGAAAGCAGAACTTGTTTTCCTGTTCTTCTCCATAGTCAATGCATTGGCTACTTGTTATGAAACTAATTTACCTGCCAAAGAAAAAAAAAAAAATACAATCCTCTTTTAATTTTTCGTTGAACTTGGTTATGTGCTATGAAATGATCTGTTTATTATGATTCTTATGATCGGTCCACATTATTCTTTTGGAAACTAATATTTTAATTCACAAAACAAGAAGGAAAAAAATGAGAAGAAAACAATTTATACAAAGCCAATCTTGAAAGCTGCCCTTTCTTTTTCCATGTCAGTGAGAACCACCTAGTTCACCTTGTTGGATTGCTTTATGTGTCTTTCCCCACCGACTTTCTTTCTCAGTTTATATGTGATTTTACGCATGTCAAGAACTGCAAGGTTCTTATTTGAATTATGGTTTTGCTAGAAAACACAAGAACTACAGATTTGAAATAAGAATATTCTTAAAAATTATGTATATACCTCCTTGCTGTGCATATTTATATGAGATTCTTGTGGTTCTATTTTTGCACAGGTTGATTGGCTTAACAAATTTATGGCAGCAATGTGGCCTTATTTGGACAAGGTATGTTTAGTTGGACGTGTTGTAGAATCTTTTAAAGTAGAAGAGTTGTGTATTGTGAAGAAAAAACCAGAAGATATCTTTCTTATTAAATATCTGAATTAATCAACATTATACAGAGGAGTAGTATTTATACAAGATTGATACACTTAACCTAACCATAACCATCTAACTAAACTATAGTTAAATTCTAACAAACTAACTACCTAGCCTTGATAATACACACGTGACCGCTGGAGCTTTTGCTTTGAAGCTGCTGGCTGCTGTTCTGCTCTGCTATGACTGAGATGCTGCTGCTCTGCTGCTGTAGCTGTGGCTGAGCTGCTGCTGCTGTTGTGAGCTTGAGCAGCTGCTGCTGGCGTTGCTTGAGTTGCTATCTTATCATATTGATGGTTTAAGGTCCTTAGGCTATCCCAGATGAGTCTGCAAAAAATATAGCAGAGCCCATCATTGCTAGGCAAATTCCAAAATACAAAATTCAGTCACTTGGATTTGAAACGCTTACCTTGGGCTACCTTGTGCTACTTTTTTCCGATAAACACAAATATGATACTATACGAATATGGAGATATAACAAAAAATTAATTAGATTGTAAATCATGCAGGTTTTTAACTTGTATTTAATATATTTTGACTTTAGCTATTGGCAAAAACTAAAATGTCCTTTAAAATCCAGGAAAGCTTATGTGCAGATGCTGCGTCTTTTGACTTGCCTTAGTCGAAAAATGCCGTTTCGGGGGCAAAAATTAAAAACAGCCCCCGAACCTCCGTGTGCCTCTCACGGACAGCATCCCCATGACTAATAGGACTTGTGACAACTCACGGAATTTTATTAGGACCTGTAGGTTGGGAGTTAGAGCCGAATACGCCCTAAATTTAGTCGAAAAATGCCGTTTCAAGGGAAAAAATTGAAAACAGCCCCCGAACCTCCGTGTGCCCCTCACAGACAGCATCCCCATGACTAATAGGACTTGTGACAACTCACGGAATTTTATTAGGACTTGTAGGTTGGGAGTTAGAGCCGAAACCGCCCAAAACTTAGTCGAAAAATGCCGTTTAGGGGGCAAAAATTGAAAATAGCCCCCGAACCTCCGTGTGCCCCTCACGGATAGCATCCCCATGACTAATAGGACTTGTGACAACTCACAGAATTTTATTAGGACCTGTAGGTTGGGAGTTAGAGCTAAAAACGCCCAAAACTTAGTCGAAAAATGCCGTTTCAAGGGCAAAAATTGAAAACAGCCACCGAACCTCTGTGTGCCCCTCACGGACAGCATCCCCATGACTAATAGAACTTGTGACAACTCAAGGAGTTTTATTACGACTTGTAGGTTGGGAGTTAGAACTGAAAACGTCCAAAACTTAGTCGAAAAATGCCGTTTCGGGGGCGAAAATTGAAAACAGCCCCCGAACCTCCGTGTGCCCCTCACGGACAGCATCCCCATGACTAATAGGACTTGTGACAACTCAAAGAATTTTATTAGGACCTGTAGGTTGGGAGTTGTTGGGATCGGGGATCCCGCCCAAGACCTTATAGAAATCATTGCAAGCAGAAAAACACACCCACACACAAGGAGACACAATATTTTACGTGGTTCGGCCCAATGCCTACGTCCACGGGAGAGTAACCGGTTATCACTATACCAATGAGGAGATTACAGAAAGATTACAATAGAGGAGGAGCTCACACTCTCCTCACTCAGACACTCACCCGTCTCCCTCGCTCACACCGAGAGAGACGGTCTCTCCGCCTCACATCTCTCACTCTCTTTGTTGTCTCACGGTTTGCTCACATTTTGCTCTCTCCTCTCAACCTCCATTTATAGGTGAGGGAGTAGGTGGGAGAGCCTTTGGGCAGCCTCCATTCTTGACTCTTCAAGATGGTTGGTGGCCGCCAAGGTGGACTTTGGTTGGTTGCCTTCCCATTGTTGCCAACCAAACTTGACTTGGATGATCACCCCTTTCACACATGGGTGAATTCAACAACTAATAGAACTTGTGACAACTCACGGAATTTTATTAGGACTTTGTAGGTTGGGAGTTAGAGCTGAAAATGTCCAAAACTTAGTCGAAAAATGCCGTTTCGGGGGCGAAAATTGAAAACAGCCCCCGAACCTCCGTGTGCCCCTCACGGATAGCATCCCCATGACTAATAGGACTTGTGACAACTCAAAGAATTTTATTAGGACCTGTAGGTTGGGAGTTAGAGCCGAAAATGCCCAAAACGTAGTCGAAAAAGAGCGTTTTGGGGACGAAAATTCAAAACATACAGAAATAGGAATACCTTGTTCAGCCCGAAGTAAGTGTTCTTGTCTTCGCATTAACCACTGCAAAAAAAGGTCCAAAAATAAAGGCCAAAGTGCACATAAATTGTGAATGATAGAGATGAATGTTCCTCAAAATTTGCTGTGAGTATACAGGCCAAAACAAAGCATGTGAGATATGGAATACAAAATCCGAAAAGAGATTTCACCCAAGTCTTTGGGCAAAGAGGTACCTTAAGAGTTACTAAAAAACATACAGAAAGTATTCTAATAATTGTCTTTATATATTTATAGTTAACTGTATGACATCTACATATTTGTAGCTAAATGTCTACATATGCGTAAGAAATGTAGTTTAACTGTATTGAAAATAAATATGATCAAGCCTTACATAATACTAAAATGTTGTTTACTATAAACAGTGTGTGTAATAGTTTGAATATTATTACTGGTGTAATGTGTTCATGATTTTCAGGAGTAGAAAAAAAAATTTAAAAAAAAGAAATTTCTTTCAAGATTAGAATAAATATTGCATGATACATGTATATATATATATATATATACTTCAATTTTGAAAAAGACATTTCTCGATTATTCTACCTTGAATGCATGTTAGAACATGTTTCCTATGGCAGACTAAATTCATATTTTGTAACAAATTCTAATGTTTTGTTTGTTGTTGTTTTTTTTTTTGTAGATGGCTTCATTGTGTGGACTTGTGGATAATTCATATGGGTGTATGGAGAAGAATTTTCACTTTCGTATAGAACTAATATAATATTTTTGTCGTCATCGCCTTTTGGATAGTTCACTATTACTGAATATGACGGTTGGAATAATCAATACAGATTACGATGGTAATTTGTACCATGCCAAATGGTCATTTCACATGGTATAGTAAATGTAATTTTTGTATATGGAGAGCTTTATTTTTTGTATGATTGTATATGTTATATGGAATTATTATTTTAGTTTGGACAATAGTTCGTTTGTATGTACTTGGACAGTTAAAGTTATTTTTTTGTTGTATAGGGATGCAAATTGTGGAATGATTGATAATTTATGTATCATTTTATTTATATATGTATTACAGGTTGAATGGAATACAGACAGGTTATGGACACATTATAATATTAATAATAAAACATAATATCATGTTTTTGCCGACTAAACGTTTTGTAGTCAATAAAAAGGAAAAAAAAAAAAAAACAAACATTTGGCTATTAAAAGTTTTGTAGGCAAAAGAAAATCAAACATTTGCCTACTAAATTTTTTGTAGGCAAAAGAAAAACAACTATTTGGCTACTAAATGTTTTGTAGCCAAAAGAAAATCAAACCTTTGGCTACTAAAAGTTTTGTAGCCAAAAGAAAATAAAACATTTGGCGACTAAAATATTTTGTAGCTAAAAATAAAAGTTGAAGAATAAATATGACTTTTGGTGACTAAAAATTTAGTAGCAAAAAATGTCGTAGTTTAGGCGACTAAATTTTTAGTAGCAAAAAATGTTGAAGTTTAGGTGACTAAATTTTTAGTAGCCAAAAGAAATAGTATTTGGTGACTAAAATTTTAGTAGCCAAAACACTAATATTTGCTTTTGGCGACTGAAAAATTTGGTAGCTAAAAAGTTTTTGGCCATTAAATAATTAGCTTTTGGCAACAAAAAAATTAGTCAGCAAAAATGTATCTATTTAATTAACTTTCAAACCTATTGGCGACTAAATTAGGTTTAGTCGGCAATTATATTTCCCGACTACTCTTTGGCTACTAATTTCCCAACCAAAAAATTTAGTCGCGAAAGAGTATAGGCGACTAAAATATGACTTTTGGCGACTAACAATTTAGTCGTCAAAAGTGAAAGTTCTTGTAGTGATTGTTCAATCTAGTTCAGCTCCCAGTGGCATCAATGCTCTACGCTTTGATTGAATTCCTCAACCCAGAGAAGTCCTTCAATGTTATGAAATCTGTGTCCAAGTGAACACCTCCATACTTGTATAGAATCACGATTCTGATCAAGTTTGACAGGTTCTGAGCCAATGGAATTTCACCTCGATCTTGTTCACCGCCCTTGATTCTATCAAACCAAGCTGGAGCCGGTATGTCACCTCAATCCTTGTTAACTGTGTTTTCTTAAAAATCCCCAATCTTTATTGATCAGTGACATTGAAAGGAAGCACCAAAAGTGTATGATCTGTTTCTGTGTCTTCTTCTTGAGCCTGTTGTTTCACCAAAAGTGGGACTTTATGGGTTGAAAGATGGGCAATTTGGCACAGGTGTCAAAGTGTGCCCATCCAAGGGTCAACACCTTGATGCCACACGCATTTGTGCCCTTTGGAGAGCCAAAAAAACATGCCTAAGAAGTTGTTGGTGCAAGTCCAAGCAAAGGCCCAAGACATGCCATGAAGCAACCTAGCCACAGCAGGCCACAGACTTGTCTGCCTAAGTAGCAACTTTAGGCCACCTTTTAGAGGGTCAAATGTAATCTTTTTTCCTTATAAATTTTTATGTAAATACCTTAGTATTAAAGGAGTTTTGGGACCAAGAGTAGTAATTTTTCTCTTTTTGTAGAATTTTTAAAAATTCACTATGACTCCTCAAACATAGTAGATGTTTCCTCCTGCCAGTTAGGAAATGGCTTAACAAGTTATATTAAGGAG